TGGCTCAAGGCTTTGCCCAAAGATTTCCGGATGACTATGAAGACACTTATTCCCCAACCGTTAGATCAGAAAGCGTGAAAACAGCACTAGTGTTAGCTTCTATCTTAAATCTGGAAGTATATCAATTTGACGTGCAGACAGCCTATCTGCACGCTGATCTAGATAAAGAAATTTATGTGAAAGCACCCCCAGGAAAGGATACAAAAAAGGGAGAAATTTGGCTATTAAACAAGAGCCTTTATGGACTAAAACAGTCCGGTAAGCGGTGGTATGAGTGCTTATCAAAGATACTTAAAAATATGGGTTTTGTAGCTACTTCATCTGATTTTTGTTTTTTCACAAAAAAAAATAATGATTCTATTGAATATGTTTTGATTTATGTTGATGATATATTGTATTTTGGACACGACAAAATTAAATGTGATAATTTCGCTGAACAACTAGGCAAAAATTTCAACTTAAAAATATTAGGAAAGGTAAATAAGTATCTAGGAGTCCAAATTGACAAAACAGATAAGGGGTTCAAATTATCTCAGAAAGACAAGATTATGGAACTCATACAAAAATGTAATTTAATTAATTCAAAAATTTGTGATACTCCTATGTCAACTGATTTTTATAGGAATGTGTATAATGAGTACGAACCATTCAAGGATAACACGTTATATCGATCAATTATTGGGTCCTTATTATACATATCTAATTGGACCAGGCCTGATATCACCCTTGCTGTAAATTTGTTGTCAAGACATGTAAGCAATCCTAACTCATACCACTGGGAAGGAATTAAGAGGATTCTAAAATATCTAAAGTCTAGCATTGATATGTGCTTATTCTTAGAACCATTCATTTCTGAAAAACCAACTTTGACCTGCTACGCTGATGCTGATTGGGCTACTGATTCAAAAACCAGAAAAAGTACTTCTGGATATGTTTTTCTTATAAATGGCTGTGCGGTGCACTGGTACACAGGCAAACAGAATTTAATTGCCACTTCCACAGCGGAAGCCGAATATGTTTGTTTATCCAAAGCGGTCAACAATCTAACTTGGTTCGATGACTTGTTAACCAATGTGTGGGATGAACCTGTTTATCCAATTATTATCAATGAGGACAATAAGGCAGCAATTGATATATCAGCTTCCGAAGCAATAGGTCAACGATCTCGACATATCGATATAAAATATAAACATGTAAGACAACTGTCAAGTATAGGATTTATTAAAGCTATCCATTGCAATACTAGTGAACAAATTGCTGATATCCTCACTAAGCCATTGCCAACCAAACAACATATGTATTTGACTTCCAAACTTGATGTGCATATATAATCTTAATAACCCACCATTAGTTAGGTATTTTAGAGGGGGATTTGTTACAGATGAAAATACCTAACCTGATATCTGTAAATATGTGTGCTTGTTTATATGTCATTGTGTGATGTCATTGTGTCACTTACCATTGGTTAGTACTTACCATTAGCCCCGCCTTCTCTGTATATAAGTTCTTGCTCCTCCCAGATTAGTGCCTGTCTAATTGTGTTCCTGAGGAAGAAAAGAAATAAATATTACTATTACAAGAAAGCCTACAGTCTCTTATATATGGGCCTAACCAGGATAACCAAACTAGCAACACTCATAGTTTCAATAGAATAATACAGTAAATATAGAAATAGTATCATAGCAAAAAGTGTGTGCTTTAAAAAAAATGATTTCAGTTTTTCCTGTTGCAAAAAATTTGAAATATCTACATTATATGTTCTTAGTGACATTAAAATAACCCCTAATAAAGTGGTTGAATGTCTGAGGCGCTAGCCTCCCAGTGAATTGTCGCTCTGCAAAGTATGTGTTCAATTCTAAAGCAAGTTAGTCATGCTTTAGTCCCATTGAAATCAAGGGTACCTAAATTCACTATAATTAACTTGACCCACTGATTTTAATGGGCCTAAAACATGACTTATGACATGACATATTGACTCCACCACCTCATAATTATTGCACTGAATTTTACACTGTAAGGAAAAACAATGAATCTCATATTTAATCCTTGGGAGAATTCTATTCTTTAGAAACTTAGAGCAGATGTAACATATAAGACACTTAAAGGCAATGGAAGGTCCACCCTTATTCCAAAAAAGTGCAGAAGAATCTGAAAGATATGTAGGACTGTCTATAGAGACTTCTATTCTGTCAAAGACTTATTTAGAGTCCAGATGACATTCATAGAGATATGAACAAAGAGTTTTGGTTCAGTGTGTTTCCATTTAAATTATACTAGCTTTTAAATGAGGGATCAGTGACAGACTCATTAAGTCTGCAGGTACTACTCATATATAAGTCACACGGTATAGTACTGGGTAAGAATTATTCCTGAGCAGAGAATTACATCTATACCACGCCCATATCTTTTATTATTGTTTCCTTGATAATCTCAGGTTCTTTATTAGAGGTGTAAATTCTGTTAAAGGATATTTTATTTAATATCAAATAAAATTAATATCACATTATTAAGATATGCCACTTTTATTAGAATATGACTGTCTTGAGGGTCTACCTGATGAATAACATTCTATTCCAGCAAGTTATATGTAAGTAATGAGTTTAGTAACTCATTTTCCGTCCTGGAACTGTGAGGGTGAGAGACAAATGCCATGGCTAGATTGTCAGGTGTATTTTTAGGGAAATGACCTACTTGAATATCAAGTGTCAATGCTACTTTGTTTATGCCAAAAGTTTTGACTTCTGATAGCTTTATTCTTTGCATTTATAATATTCATGATTTACGGATTTCTAATCAGATTACATGACTACTATGTACATTTCTTCTTTCCTGTTTTCCATTTTCTTATTTTCTTGGTTTTGTTTTTTAAAATAACACAACGGCTATAAGGTTTTGCAAGTCCTAGTATGTATACTCATACAGTGATATATTTTATTTAACTTAGTCTATATGCCTCTTTGAAAAGTGTCATTTTAACCACTAAGCAGAGTTGTGAGAAACTCAGATATAACTGCTTTTTATAATTATATCCTTCTGTTAATCCACAGAATTAGCTGTAATTTTTCCTGTCTTGCTATAGATGAGGATATTAACAGTTATCTTTTTCTATCAGCAACAGTGATACCATTATTCTTTTTATCGTGGCATTTCCTTTATTATCAATAGCATAGTAACAAACACGCAGACATTCTAGTTATAAGAAAACTGTAATTAACACACTAATATATTCTTCTTAAGGTTTAGTTTTAAATAACAAATTGCGTCTCTCCTTACTCCAATAGAAATCGAGTAAATAGATAAGTACAATTAAATGTTTTAGATTTAAATGTTTACTTTTAATAGAATGTCTAGCATCTTCAAAATATTAAATGTTTCTCTGAATATTTTTGAAGTATGAATGATAAAATATGCCACTTACAAATACTTTTTTGCAGAAGGCTGGATAGGATTCTGATAGGGAGTTGGGGGGTTATCTCCAATAAACAAATTCTGTTATTTTGTTATTTACCATCCGTTTTTTTAGTTAGTACTTGCCTTTTTTTTAATCACAGTCTTTAATCACAGAGTCTATACTCTGTTGGCCAGTATAAACTGGATTTTTATGACATCAGTTCATCATTAAAATGCTAGAATGCTTTATGGTTAACGTGACATGATAATTACTACACATATTTAAATTTGAATGATTATTTTAAGTAGGATGTAGAAGATCATAAGACCTCTTAACATCATTTAACACTTATTTTAAATAACTAATAGGGCTATGCATTCTTTGAAAATGATTCAGAAAAGCTGTTTAGAACTTATGTGAGCATGGCATCTTACTAGTCTTCATTAAAGCAGGCTGCTGTTTTCAGTCTTCTGTGAAAACTGGAAAAAGGATGCTGCTACTTTAAGGAGCTGGCACATTGTATTCTCAAAGCATCTGTATCTTTATGTGGAGGCATGAAAAACTGTAGGCTGTTTTTTTGAATAACAGAGACACACTTTGGCTTGTACTGTATAATCTACGGATGTCAAACTCACATTGTCACAGCGGCTTTACATGACATATTGAGACTAAAAAAATTTCCTTTCGCTAAACCAGGTGGGGGCGGAACCAGCACGTGACGCATCTGGCCCACAGGCTGTGAGTTTGGCACCCCTGGTATAGTCTAAAGCTCACCATCTCATTCGTTTTCAAAGCAGTGTGGAAAATAACCAATGAGGAAATATGTATAAGTATTTAATGTGCTCCAGCAAAAGAAAGATGGATTTAATGTGAATCAAAGTAAACAAGAGTATTTCAGGAGTGATTCAGAAATTTAGATCCTTTAAAACCTTGGGAAAATAGCTTTGCATACATCATGCTATATTCGGTATATATAGAAAGCTATATTGGGTATGAAAGCAAGAGAAATGTAATGTAATTTTAAAAGATTTGTAGACATTACAGGGATATAGTTCTAAAAACTTTCCCTCCAAAAAAGTTATACAGTATTATTTTTCCCACAATGGTAATAGATTTAGGAAGGTTTTCCCCAGTAATATAACTGTAGGATCAAGTTTTTTGGAGTGCATCCATATTTTCAATATTTGAAAACTGAGTCTTACAAAGACCGAAATTGCTGCTGTTTATTTATTCATTCGGTTTATATACCTCTTCTCATATCTAGAAAAAATACCTTGCATCAATGGTGCAGTTAAACTTGGCTATGTACATATGTCATTTCACACAAAACCCAAAGTATACAATGCAGCATGTGTAGCATTTATCTACACGGAGATCTTCATATTTTAGATCTTCTAAAATTTGAAAGTCTATGGATTGATGATAAGTTCTTCATTTATGTCACGGGTGTCAAACTCGCTACATCATGTTGCCATCACGTGATGTTTCGCAATGTTTTTCCCATTTGCGGAGGTGGAGTGGGCATGACCTGCGCATGATGCATCTGGCCCATGGGCTGCCAGTTTGACACCCTTGATTTATGTTCACTACTTTCTTCTGTCTATTTCAGAGACTGACCATTCCAAGCAGCTGTCCTGGAAGCTTTGCAGAATTGATGCTCCAATGTTGGGAAGCAGACCCAAAGGTATTTCTTTAGACTGATATACCATTATATTAAGTTTATCATTAAGTTTATCAAGAGCCTTGGTGGTGCAGTGGTTAGAATGCAGTATTGCAGGCTAATTCACTGCTCACTGCCAACAGTTCTATCCTGACTGGCTCAAGGTTGACTCAGCCTTCCATTGATAAAATAATGACTCAGATTGTTGGGGGCAATATGCTGACTCTGTAAATCACTTAGAGAGGGCTGTAAAGCACTATGAAGCAGTATATAAGTCTAAGTGCTATTGCTATTGCTATCATTGTTTACTGCTTTAATTGCACTGTCAGGAAATAGGCTGAACATTGGAGACTTAGAGACCCTTAGCTTATCTATGGTTTAAACATGCTGGTTGTTGGCTTTTCTGATACAGAATTATTTATGAAAGGAAGCAGAATGTAATAATCATTTGTCAATTAATATCCTGTCTTCTTACTAATGAATGGAACTTCTTGAATATAATTTATATATTGTTACAAAATTGTTTGGATTGTATTTATTTATTTAATCACATCAGCTTAAGGCAAAGGTGTCAAACTGGCAGCCCGCAGGCTGGATGCATCACTTTTAGGCCACGCCCACCCCAGCTTCGCGAATGGGAAAAACGTCACGAAACATGTGACGGCAGCGTAATGCAGTGACTTTGACACCTGTGGCTTAAGAACTGCTCTATTTCTAAATATTTTGTACAATACAGTGAATTAACATAACAGCTATCCAACATTAATGAAAATTAATGTTCATTACTCTTGACAATCCCCTGTTGCCTGTTTTTGTTCTACCACATATATGAAGTACTTACAAGGAAGTGGTTGGATTCCAACTCTGCCCAAGAATTGTAATCATGCGTTGTAGTACAACACAATTGGAGCGCAACAGACTGCAAAAAGCTTGGGCTGAAAAAATCCAGTTATGACATTCATTCTTGATGTGCACAATATTGCACAAGAGTTGCTGTATATCATGAACACAGTAATCCTCTTCAGTCCTTGAAGTGAAGAATGTGACGTCATAGAATCATACAATGTAAAGGTCAGAAAGGATCTTGGAGATCACTACGTAAATAATATAAGTGCAGATAAAAAGAAAGGATACCAAATTAGGTCTTTTTGCAATCTCAGAAATTAGTGGGCAATAGCTTGTGTTTCCTCCTGGATTAGCATGTGTACAACTGAATCCAGCACTCTTAGCAGAATCAGTGATAGGCCAAGGAAAATTGAGATTTGAATTTTTAGATGTCACTTTTTTTTGCATTTGAAAAAAGCCCTCATTTTATTCGATCACTATTGTCTTTTACATCCTATAAACTGGCAGAACAGCTTTCAATGCTTTATTCCTCTAAATTCTCAAAAGGTGGTTATTTACAGAAACTAAAAAGCACAGTGAGGCTGAGCCACCCACATTAAGTGCTGCATAAAGTCCACTAAGCTTAAGTTGAAATAAAATGACCATACTCCTTCAGTATTTATGAGCATTAAAGCACATTTTTATCAATTGACAAGTCTGAAGCTAGGATAATCCATAATTTAATTAGCACCAATGAGATATATTCCATTTTGGTATTTCTTGCATCTATTACTGTGATGGTTTAGTTCAGAAGTGTGTATAAATTTGAGCGGTGTCAAAAGTTACATCCAAAATTGGGCCGGGCATTGACATTTTTGTGAAGGAAATTTTGAGAGTTCTTTAGCTATTATAAAAGAATAATAACAATTTATTAAATTTGTATAACCCCCATCCTCAACCTGTCCCAAAGTTTGAAAATTTGGTCCCTGCCAAATGCTGCTGGCTGTCCTGAACTCTTATGCTCCTGCTACATCCATGTCTGACTGGAAGGAAGATATGATGCAGAATGAAGAAACACACTCTTCAGGGTGTGTGTCTGCATCTAGATTATGCTTCTACTATTCCTAAAAGCATTATACACTAAGGTAGTCTTCCCCAATCTTTCTTCTCCTGTGCAACTTGACTGGCAAAAACCAGGTAGCTACATTTATGTCCTACTGCAAAGGTTTGGGTAAAATAGTGTGTATGAACCTGTCATAAAATGAACAGAACAGCAACTGTTCTGAGCCAAGGTGGTGCAGTGGTTAGGGTGCAGTACTGCAGCTACTTCAGCTGACTGCTAGTTCAGCAGATCAGTGGATCAAATCTTACCGGCTCAAGGTGGACTCAGCCTTCCATCCTTCCGAGGTGGGTAAAATGAGGACCCAGATTGTTGGGGGCAATATGCTATTTAGTATACTGTCTTTGGTGTAAGCTGCCCAGAGTCCTCGGAGAGTGGGCGGCATAGAAATATGAATAATAATAAAAAACTGTTTATTGCTGGGTTATAATCCAATACAGATGGACCAAAAATGACAAGACAGAACAGAAAATCAGAAAAAGAAATACCTTCACTTAATAGGCAGTTCTTACAGAGAAGAACACTTGTCTCTTTTTGTTACACACACACACACACACATATATAATGTTGTTTGACATTTGAAATAAAGAAATTGTCTCTCTTTTATAATGTGAAAATCACTTGGATCTGCCTGGGAGAGACACCTCAGCATTGTTCCTAATTGTTTTTGTGCACCCAAATTAAAATGCACGTTTTAATTGCCGCATCTGTAATTTTAGCAGAAATGGTATAATTACAGGCGTGATGCAGAGAGAGTGTGCCTCATCCCTTTATTATGTATCCACGTTTTGGTTTCCACCTTTTGTCTTAACCTTGTCTGGGGTCTGTCAAACAGACTAGCGGAGGCAATGCACTTTTGAGAAGCATTTTGCTAAGACTTTTTCAGTTTTCAACAATTATCCCACTTTTTGCACTGTAACAAAAGAAGCTTTAAATTCAGACGAGAATGCGGGGAAATTATGACTGCTTTGTCTGAGTCCATTCAGATTGGCTTGGGCTGTGCATAGCCCCATCTTCCTTTGCTTCGTCACTGGACTTCAGGATGACCTGACTTCCCATATTACAAAATTCTATTGAAAAAGTATAGAAAATTCATATTATGCATTGTTATATAATTCTTATGATTTACACAGGATTCTCCCAGATTTTTAGAGGAGTTGATGTTAAGTTATATTTTACTATCAAACTATAAGTGGAAATTTCACACACTTTTGAAAAATGTCTGTATAGACTAATAGGTTGTGCTTGGCATAGACCAAAAATCTCACATTGCAGAAATAAAACATGGGCATTTATATCATGTTCAAAATGTCATGATGCTGTATGAAATAGGAACTGCCAAATCTTTCCAAATTTTATCATTTAATTGGGTTAGACTTAGACTTTAGGAAAATGATCTTCCTCTCTTTCTATTTTAATTGCAGGTTTCAATCTTCTTTATAAATATTTTTTCCTTTGATTACTTTTTTTTTTTTTTAAGAAAAAAACAGTTTCACTTTTCCAGGTTGATCCAAGATTTTTATTCTGGCCTCTGTATTAGAAAAATGGAGGAGTAATTACGGTACTAACTGTACAGGCATATAAACTTCTACTTGTGTGAGTGAATCAAAATTTTATTAAGGCAAAACAAGCTCAGAAGCCTGATGAAAGTTATTTTTTTTTATTTTCAGGAGACAAATGATTTGCAGAACTAATGGGTAATTTTATGTTTTAATATGACACTCTTCCTGTTAAACAAAATCAGAACAGTTTGTAACTTCCACATCAAATCACATGCCATCATAAAAAGTGCAATACCAATAACTATCAGTTTATAAAACACCAACAAAAGTTTTGTAATATTTTAAACCCATACTAAAGCCAGAATGGCCAAAAACACTTTGTTAAAAATTGAAGCATTAAAATTAGGGACTATATATGAAAAATTGCCAAAATAGTAATTTCTGGTAAAAGTTACCCCAAATGGAAATTACAAGAATATTTCATCAACTTTTCATCGAATGGAAATTACAAGAATATTTTCATCAAAGTAGGAAATTCCTACTAGTATGTAATAGTGGTTTTTCCATTATAAGATGCAGATGGAATTATAATTCCATTATAATAGGGAAGGGCCAGGGGGAAGGCCTTCTCTGTGGCAGCTCCTGCCCTCTGGAACGATTTGCCCCTGGAGATACGAAGGATATCGGATCTCCGGGTCTTTCGCCGTGCCCTGAAAACTTTTCTTTTCCATCAAGCAGGGCTGGTGTGAAACCCCCCCCCCTTTTTAGTTTTTTAGCTTTTAATTTGTCAATGGGTTTTAATTCGAATTGTTTTAAATTTGCACCAAAATATGTAATTCTTTTAATAATTTTAAATTTTGTATTGGTATGTGTTTTAGTTTTGGCTGTGCACCGCCCTGAGTCCACTAGGAGAAGGGCGGTATACAAACTGAATAAAATAAAATAAATAAATAATAATAAATAATTTACTTTTTGGGTATAAATTCTGTGAAGCTCTGTCCATCTTCCTGAATCAGATGTAGCTGTGCAGTCAGATCAAGCATTATTCTTTCTCCTCCTTGTTCCCCAAAATTAGAATTACCATTATTAGCTGCTTTAATTAATTGCTTTGTGTTTTAGTTTCTTTCTACCACACAATGCCTTCACCAGTAGCTTTGCAATTCATGTTGTAGGTTTAAAACTTTTTTTAAAAAAAAAAACCATAAAATAATAGCAGATTTCTAATAAAAATATAGAACAATTGTAAGGAAAACACTAGCATATTTTGCTTATTTTAACAGAAAAGAAGAATTAACTTGCCTTCCACTTCACTAAGTGGGAATACAATAGATTGGGATGCTGCTATGCATTGAATAGAGAGTGCTCACTTCTGAACCTCTTCTTGCTGTGGGGAATGAGTTTCTTAATTTATTTTGCAGGATGGTTCTTTTATTTACCTGCTGACTCCAACATCAAAGTGAACTTGATTTTAACAAAACTGTAATTTAAAACAGCCATGGATTCAAGGAGATTTTAGGAGTTTATTGGTACTGCGGTTTCAGGGAGAGGGCTTCAGTCTTTTCTGATGCCTCCAGTAATATACGGTACCTTAATATGGCTGAAAAATTGGTTTCCACTCCCTCTCAAAATAAGGTATCTGGTGCTTTGAGTTGATAGTGAAAAGAAACCTGAGCCCTGTAATGCTCTTTCATCTTGCACAGTTCTTGCATAATTTTGTTTTATCAGAGTTACACTACTAAAAGCCTACTAGAAAATAAACACGACCGCAAAACAAGCATTACATTCAGTGGCTGAACATTGATGGAGGAGGATGCATTCCAATAGGGACCTAATAATGGAAGAAATTGAGTTGCTTGTAACTCAATTTCAGCGAAAGACTATTGAATGTGTATTAAAAAGGTTAAGGTACTAAGGTTATAAAATCAAAGGGTACAGAACAAAAAATCAAGAAGTGCTAGCAACACAGAAATTACCATTACCTTCAACCTTCCATTTTCATTCACTAAGGCAGTGCTTCTCAAACCTGGGTAAATTGGTAAAAGTGTTCGTTCTTTGGGTATCAATACCCAATCATAACAGGAACATATTTTGCCTAGACTGGGTGGAAAGGACTTTCTGATAAGCAGTTTTGGGTAATGAAGGGGAAGTTTGGAAAGCCCTGCTAGAGGACATCCTCTGCGCTGCACCTCCATTCTGTGGTTTTCTGGTCATACTCCAGAGCAGTATTTCTCAATCTTGGTAACTTTAAGATGGGTGGAATTCAAACCCCAGAATTCCCCAGTCCAGCACGGTGGCTGGAGAATTCTGGGAGTTGAAGTCCATCCATTTTAAAGTTGTCCAGAATGAGAAACATAGCTTCAGAAAGATTGTGCTGGCATTTTTCTGCTTAATACAGGGGTGGGCAACTGTGGTCCTTTTACAACCTGTGGACTTCAACTCCCAGAATTCTTGAGCCAGCTTGGCTGTCTCAGGAATTCTGGGAGTTGAAATCCACAGGTTATAAAAGGGCCACAGTTGCCCACCCCTGGCTTAATAGATTTCCTGGGTCAAGAAAAAGAGCAGAATAGAGAGTGATAAGGACAGCCGAGAAGATTATAGGAAGCTTGCTTCCGTTATTCAGGATACTGCTTATAAGCGCTATGTGCTTAGAACCTGAAGCATTGTTAGAGACCCCACACACCCACTTCACGGTCTGTTTCTGTTCCTCCCCTCTTGAAGGAGGTTTCGAAGTATCTATAGCAGGACTACTAGATTCTGTAACAGCTTTGTTCCTTATGCCATCTGTTTTGTAAACTCTCAGGATTCTTTTTTTTCGCCATGCATATTTATACATTTGAACTAGACTGATGTTTCTCTATGTCATATATGTGGGTATATGTATAATGGTTATACTTTGAGAGCTGAATGCAACGAAATTTCATTTTAATGTATGCTGTTTAGTGTATGTTTAAAGTGACAATAAAGTTCTGTTCTATTCTGTTCTATTCTATTCTATTCTATTCTATTCTATTCTATTCTATTCTATT